ATTATATGAACATTTTAAAACCCCAAGTCTTAATGTGCACTTACCTCAAACTACAAGTAGTTAAATTGTAATTTCCCCTAGATTTTAATGGCAAAATTGCTAGGTAGGCTTGGCAAACGAGCGAGTTGGGTTAACTTGGGTGATGGATCATACGAGTTGGGTCGTAAACGAGTCATGAGTTGGCAAAAATCAACTCTAACATGACCTTAGCATGTTACAAGTCAACCCATGGGTTTACCTTATTTTCATTTTTTATAATTTGTTTTCAACTTTATTATATTCAAATAAAATTATAAGTATCTAAATTTAACTAAAACTTAGAAGTTTTAAAGTAGTTTATGCTGATTAACAGTATGGACTTTATAATCTCTACTACAAACTTTTAAATTAAGAAAAAATCATAGGTTATACATAACAGTAAGTTAATTAACAAAATTAAACTTAAAATATTAAAATTTCTTGAAAAATAAAGTTTGAATTTTGCAATCATCATGTTGAAGCATAATTTATCAAGAAGTTTAAGCTTCTCCTTAAGATGAAATTGCTCTTCCCAGAACTTTTTCACTAAATCGCTATGTCTATATCAGAGCATCACATCATCAATATTTTTAGTTGCATTATCACCTAATGCATGATTCTTGGTAATTGGATCAAACCCATATAATTTCTTGAGGAAGAAGAAATAATGATAAGCAAAAACTCAAAATGGGTTCAAAACTATGTGAGTAATGGAGAGGAAGTTGAAGAGTATGAATCAATGGAAGAGTTTCTAATAGGAAAATTAATTAAAAGTAATAAGAACAATGTTTATAAAAAATAACAATAAAAAAGAAACCAAACTAGACAACCCATGAATCCATGGGTTGACCCGAACCCAACTTGTGTCCTGTGACCCATGACCCGTGACCCGTGACCCGTGACCCGTGACCCATGCAGGTTGATATTACAGGTTATTTACAAGTCACAAGTTGCTGAAATATGTAAACTTTAACCAATTCTCACGGGTTAAGTTAGTATCAGGTTAATGGGTTAGGTGGGTTTTTGCCACCTCTACTGATAGATGTTAACAAGTGTGTTAAATTGGAAGGTATGCAATCATCTTTCTTTAAGGTGTATATTATCTTGTATTAATTTTGACATGAAAATTATACAATCAGTTTGTAATTTTAGTCTAAGTTTTGAAATTATTGTATTTTTTAAAGAACAAAGCTTTGAATTTGATATTTAGTGTTAGGTTTTCAGTTTGATCAAATGTGGTGGGTTTGTTATATAATCTTACCGTAAATTGTGGATGAAATTGACTGTAATTAAAATTGTTATAATGTCATTTATATGTTTCGATTATACTCAAAGCTTTTTTTTTTTCTTTATAGATATATGTTTTGATGTATATCACGTTAGTGATTGATGGAATATATTTAATTTTTTTCCTTTTAATTAAAAGTACCGATTTTTTATATAATGGTGATAAATTTTCCAACGTAAATCACATAAGTGAAAGTTCAAGTTCCATTGATGTGGTATATCACATTGTGTAAGAGCCATGATTCCGATCGCTAGTCCAGCTGCATTATATTTTGAGATTTACCATGTTAGTGAATCTCAAAGATTTAGCGACGTAGCTCGATCGAGCCACTTTGTTGAATCAATTACTGAGGGAGGTTTCATCGATATGGAATACGTTGTTGGAAACCTGTAAACAACAACATGGAATTGGCTTCCACTCACTTGATTTCATGACGGTAAAAAGTTGGTTTTCTAGTGGTGCAAATTGATTCCTCAACTCAAAAAAAGCTCTTTTGTTTTGTTCTTTAAAATTTATTTTTTTGACTCTTTTTTTGTCATGCTATTATCTTTTTTACTAGTAGTATGTTAATAAACGGAGCAACCTTATTGTTTCTTTACAAAAATGACGTCGGCAATCCAAGCGAATCAAAAATTATGACCTATACAAAATTATAGATTCACATTAATATTTTAAGAGTAACGATTTATACACTTTCTGATTTAATACACTTACTGATACTCAACGATTTAATTATTAATTAAATTTTGCAAATGAACTTTTTCTTATCTTGAATTCAAATTTAAAAATAATAATTTTTAAAATAATATATTATGACGTGTCTTAAATCAAATAGTGCACTAATTATATATTGTCCTTTACCCTTAACTTTAATTAACACACCCACTAATTGAGTCATTAAAATTTAAAAATATTAAGTTTTCTTGCTTTTAAATTAGATTTGAAAATAATAATGTTTTAATAAATATATTATGAGATATGTTAAATAAAAAAATATACCAATCATTATCCTTAGTAATATCTTAATGTCAAGCTGCCAACCCTAGCCGGCTAGCTAGGTTTTCTCTAAATAGAGCTTGAACAACTAGAGAGGAATAATTAAAGTGGTGATAAACATAATCAACTCTAGTCCTGTTTAATTCTTTGATAATTTTTTTTATCAAAATTACCACATTTGTACTGTGATATATGGCATTTTATGATTGATGATTAACCACAAGGATTATTAGGAGAGGCGGAAAAGACTAATAGGGTATAAATTAAAGGCAAGGACACAAGATTCGCAAACACCAAGATTAATAAGGTTTGCAACAAGCTCTAAGCACCCTCAAAATTAGCAAAAACCCTAATTAATAAGGTGCATTGAACAACCTAAACTAGTGCTTAATTAATGAGTTGTGTGTTTTGTCTGTCAAAGTTCGTTAAAAACCACATTATTGTTAAAGCATTACATGAGTTTTCTGAGTAGTGGAGTAGTTAGGTTGAATTTTGCCAGGTTTGATTGCCCAAAACCCGGATTTTTCCTCTCATACATGTCGTCTTTTAGAATTGATTATGCCGCCATTACAGTAGCACACTGACCACAGTGAAGGCATGAAACCATATACAGATATTGCTGTTAATTAGTACCCTTTTTTGGACCATGCAAAGCATTTCCTTTTGGTAAAATTCTTTTCACTAATTAGACATGGTCAATGAATTTGATGCATCAGATTTGTAAATATCATATACATCGTTAGCTCCTTGGTCCGTACAAGATTTCTCTATTCACAATTAGAAGATAGATTGGACTTGTTAATTTCAAAGTGTACAGAGCAACTTGTGCTGTAGGAGATTAATGTTGGAATCTTTTTCTCACTTTTTTTTTTTTCAAAAGTTGCTTAGATATATATTAAGGAAGTTTAAACCTTTAATCTCAATTCCAAATTAAAATTTAAAAATAGCATATATTAATAAAAAATGATTGATACATTTTGATTTAATACACTTTTTGATATTTATTTTGATTCAATTATTAAAATATAATATAAATATTACTAATTCAATTAGATTTCGCATTTTACATGCGTAGTTGTAACTTAAAGTTTATTTATTTTTAATTTTATTTAAAAAATAATAATTTTTAATAATTATATTTTATAATATATTAAATCAAAGTATATATCAATCTCTGTCTTATCCTAATACAATTAAACTTTAGTCCGTGTGATCTTCTCACTTATTACTTTCTTGAATTGCCAGATTGGTAATCCCTTAAACCAGCGCAACTTCTTACCTACATATAAACCTCTAAACTTCTCAAATAGCTAATAAAAAATATCTTGTGTTTTTCTTGACCAAAACATAATTCTTGAGGAGAACTTGGAAAAAAAGTAATTTTTTAATATCACAAAATCACTTCATGTAAAATAGTTAATTGTTTTTTGCTTTGATGCTTCCTAGCTACTTTCCATTTTTTGCAGCAATTGCTTAGCTTTGAAGTCATCTACACTAGGATAGGGATTATAGTGGTAAAGTAGGAGTAGGAAAATTAAGATTATATGTGTGTGAAAACAGCAATTTGTCAGGAAAAGGGAGTTGCTTTTTCTGAGAAGAAAATGGGTGTCTTTTAATGCAAAAGCCTATTTTGCTTAGCGGATTTTTCAACTAACACGACCGACTTGCTATAATTAAGACCTCATAAATAGCCTCAACTTATCTTTTTTCAGAACATTAATTTATATACAAGTCATCAAATAGGAAAGAAGAGTTAACAAAGAATCTCTTTTAAATACCTCTTGAATTAATAACCGAATAATGATAGTTAGAAACTAAATTTTTAAGAGGGGTTAAAGAGGAAGGTATAGGTTGGGTAGAGTTATTGTCACCTTTTAAATTTTAAATAGTTAATGTCATATTTTTTTATTGTAAATATTTGTTATATTTTTATATTATATATATATTTTAAATATATATATTTTAATAAATTTAAAAATATAATGATCCATTAAAATAAAAAATATGATATTAGTAATTAAAGGTGCAACAATAATATCACCTCTTGTTGGTAAAGATTGTTGCATGTAAAAGGAAGTATAAAGGGTTTGAGTATCCTTATATCTCTAATAATAAATTATTCACTTTCCTAACAGAAAAAAAAAAAAAATCAAATTTTAAGATGAAGTTTTATGACAATTTTATGATAATCATTAATTATGATGTCTTTCCCGTAGAGACCCATATAATGTATGGTTGAAATAATTTTGTCCCAAAATATAGTGCTAAAATTTGATACCCAAGAATCATTACTATTTTATCCAAAAAAAAATCATTAATATTAATCATCTCACAACCTGCAATTCTTATATTCAAATCAATGGGATACTGGGACAAATAGAACTTTAATTGAAAATTACGAGACATTATGCTTATTTCTATAAGTCCATAAAAGAAGCTAGGCTTTGAATCCCTCTTTCACCAATTGAGAATGACGATGACGAGAATCCAAAATAATAATAATAATAATAATAAGAAAAGAAAAAACAAAAAAACATAAAAACAAAAATGCGGCAAAAATAAATTGTAAATGCAGCTTGTTCAAGAAGAGTTTATATAGTTTATCATGTTTAGAGCTCTAAAGCCAAGGAGATAGAAAAATTGTTTAGATGGGGTGATAGAAACACGGAAACAGCGCCCACGTTCTCTTCACATCTTACTTCCTTCTCTTTATTTTTATATCTCTCCCCACAAAACCCAATCGACGTCAAAATATGGCCCCAAGGATTAAATATATTCCTTTACCTCTCTTGTGAAGTTGTGAACCTCCATAAATACTCTTCATCTTCTCATCTTTGTCCCTCTCTTTCTCTCTTCCGTTAAGCATCACTTCCCTTTTTTTCTTATCTTTTGAAGCTGCAGCTAGCTATAGGGCTTTTCCTTTGAAGCTCAATTTTATGGTGATCATGGTGTGTGCATATCTCTCTTTTTTCCTACCACAGGTTGTTTACACGTAGAACTTTCTGTAATGTGCTAGTGTTTTGATGGCATGTTTAGGGAATTCAGAAGCCTGCATGGTTGGAAGCTCTCTACACTCAGAAGTTCTTCGTAGGCTGTTCTTACCATGAATCAGCCAAGAAGAATGAAAAAAATGTATGCTGCTTGGATTGTTGCATCAGTATTTGCCCTCATTGTGTACCGTCACATCACTTTCACCGCCTTCTTCAGGTCCGCCGCTACGTATATCATGACGTCGTTCGATTGGAAGATCTTCAGAAGCTTATAGACTGCTCTAATGTTCAAGTATAGAACAAGCTATTTATTTTTATTATTAATTATTATTATTATTATTATTATTATTATTATTATTATTATTATTGGCCAACAAGCTATTAATTTTTGTCTTTCATAATTCATTAAGAAGAGCTCAGCTAACATAATATAGTTTAATTTTGATTAGGCTTATACTATAAACAGTGCAAAAGTGGTGTTCATCAAGAAGAGACCTCAGAACAGGCAATTCAAAGGGGCAGGAAATTACTGTACTTCCTGTGACAGAAGTCTCCAAGAACCCTTTATCCATTGCTCTCTGGGGTGCAAGGTAAATACTTATTGCAATTCAATATTCCATTGCAAAGTTATACTTCTTCCACTCTATTAGTTGTTATACTGTCTTTTCATGTGATTTTAAGAAATACTTTTATATAGTAAATTAAGATACATTAGAATTTTCTTATCAAGTAAAACTATTCAAAATATATATATAGCGACCTTTTTTGAAAAAAAAAATTTATTCATAGCTAACCATATAAAAGCATCACCTACAATAGCTTGTAAAGTTAAAATATGACAATATAGGTCAGATTGAGCAATCATTTTCATTTATCACAAAGAAAATAATTTTTGTGCTTAATTTTGTGATTTGAAATTAGGTGGACTTTGTGCTGAAACACTACAAAGACCTGAGTCCATACTTAAAAACATGCAACACTTTGACACTGAGCCCTGACTTCCTGATTCCTCAAGACATGGGCGACGACGAGACGCCTCACTCAACGATTTTGGACTCCGACGAACCGATGAGCTGGTCATCGGGCTCTTCAGGGTCGGAAAACATGAGCGTTGTATGCACCGAGATTGTCCGGAAGAAGAGAAGTGGGCTCTACGTGTGCGGAAGATCTGATACTAAGGTGTCCGAGGAGGGCATGGCGACGAGCATGAATAGGAGAAAAGGCATTCCCCATCGATCACCTCTGTGTTAGGCAAGGAAGAAACAAAACAATAATAATAATAATAATAATAAAGAAGATTAACAGTTCACTGAAATTTTGTTTAATTTCAAGTAATTTTAGACTTAATCGGTTTGAAATACTGTTAGTTTAAATTAATTATCTATCTCGTTAAGTATAATTTAGTATCACCTGGTGGTACTTGCCACTAAAAAAAAAAAAAAAATTTCACAAAAAGAAGAAGAGAGAAACTTAGTCACTTGGTCGGGGTGTTTTGTCTGGCCTCACGTGGTTCTCAATTCCAAGAGTATATATATATATATATATATATATATATAATACCGAGAAAGTGCTATCAATCCCTACTACTAATCAAAATTATAGTCTCAAAATCTACCGATATTGTTTCTTTTAATCCCCAATTTCTACTCTTTTGCACTCCTTTCGCATCTCAGGCAATCATCTCCATCATCACCGCCTCCTTTTTTTTTCTTAACAAAAAGTCACTTGTTTGCAATTCACATAAATAAACTTATGGTCAGCATTCAGCAATGCATAATCCACACATTGCCATTCATCAACAACAACGCTCCTCAATTCTACAATATCACCCCTCACCTCTCTCACTTCAACAAAGAGGGTAAATTATTGAATTTCGAAAGGTCATTTCCTTTGATTCCTTCTTTGTTTCTATCAATGGCATGGATTGTGTTTGAAAATTTTAAGGGATCCCAGAAGATGGTGGAGACGATGAATTATAGTCGTAGAATGGGGTGAAAATAGTAGGCGCTGGGGATTAAGTCGGTGACATGAGATTGTGTTTGAAAAATTCAAGGAATTGGGGGAGGCTACGAGGGGAGGAGGTGATGGTGATGGAGATGATTGATTGAGATGTAAAAGGGGTGAAAAACAATAAGGGATTGGGGATTAAGAGAAATGATATCATTGGAGTTGAAAACTCTAATTTTTATTGGGGGTTGAAATGTTAAGAAAGGATTCTAGAGAAGAAGAAAATGGAATGAAAATCAAACTCACATTAAAATGAAAATAAATTAGCCTTTAAACAGCTTTTACAAGACAACTTTATCTAAAAAAAATAAATAACCAATAATACCAATTTATCTAATCTATTTTAAATAATAACAATCTAAATAATAGGAAAAACAAATTGTTTTTCCAAAAATCCTTAGCCAACCTTAACCACGTGAGTTTGGGAAATAGGCATGCCACTTGCTTTGTCTAAAAACAAGAAAATCAGATTTTTCAAACAACCCTTCTCCTTTTCAATGGTTGACCTCTAATAAGATAGTTAGAAAGAATGTCGGTGAAATAAATTACACCCCAGATGACGTTGCAAAACAAAAGGTGGAGTGTTGCAAAATGGGTTATTAGTTGCTTTGAACACTTCCAAGGACTTTACAACCACGAAAGTGTAATAAAAGCTACAAATCCTAAAATAAACACAATATCCTAAAGCAATTAATCTAACATGAAATAACTAAAAAAGCATAACATGCCACCAAAATAAACTTGTAGACAATAGATTGTGTAGGATTACAGACACTAATTTTAACTTCACGATCCATGACAGTTAAACTAATTACTTGCAAATTTCAAATAAAAATAATTAAATTACTTGATAATTAAAACTGAAGGAGAATCTACGAAATAATCAAAGTCTGAAAACTTGTAAAATTAAATTTGGAAATTGAAATTAAGCAAGCTGCAAGTTTGGTAATTGTGCAGAAACAAAGAAAAGAAGGCAGAAAACATTCAATCTATTTACATAAACAAATAATAAAGATGAATCCATAAGAGAAAGAAAAACTAACCAAATCAACAAGGCAGACCTGTTTTCAAGGCTAAAATGCTTCCAAATCTCTAAAAACTAACTAAAGTTGCAATTTTCGAGGGAAAATATGAACAAGGATGGAAAAACCTAAACAAAAGTTATGAACAAGAATAGATATTGTACTATAATTTGGAAATTATGCTAAAATCTGGAAGAAATTTTTGAAAGTTGAAAAAAAAAAAATATGCGCTAGGCAATTTTTGTAGGGCAAGCCGGCTGTATGTGTGTGTTCTCTTGTTTTCCTTTTCTTCAATGCTGGGAAGCCTCTTTCATGATTTTTGACCTTCTTCCCACCATGAATAGGTAATGGGGACTCCACGTCTAAGCAGTTGTCTAGCAACTGACAGTTTTTTATTCAATTTTATCTTCAATAAAACCCTAGTAATATTCTTCTCCTAAAAACCCTCAACTTCCTAATTTAAATCAAACTCAACCACCAGAAACTAACTTATCTTTTGCCACCTAAAATCCAACCTCTTTAAAAATCTGTTTGGGCCATGAAATTCTAAATTAGCCAAGCCCAATTCAACATAAGCCAACTTAATGACTCTCCTTAAAGATTAGGCTTAATCTTAACATATGGCCTTATCCCATTGGTTTATTTTTAGGTGTAAACACAAATAAACAACTTAAACTTCCTAAATTATAAAGTTAATGACTAAAAACAAGGATCTACTTTCCAATAATCCCTCCTTTAAACTGAAAGTTCCAAACTTCAATTTAGAGAAATTTGGAAAACACCATATCTACAATTTGGAATCTACAGACCTTCCCTCAAACTAAATTATACATGCTACAAACACTAAGTAACTCTCTCAGTCTTGAAAAAGTTGCTAATTTCAAGGGTTTTGTGGATATATCTGCCACTTGATCTTCTGTTCTGTAATAAGTCAACTCAATTGTTCCATCTTCTACCAAGTTGCGCAAGTATATGCTTGCTTCTCCCATGTAAAACTGGATTTCTAGAAAGCTTGATAGTTGAACTATTGTCACAATAAATTGAAGTGGCCTTATGTTGATTCATCTCAAGTTCTTCTAGAACTCTTCTCAACCAAATAGCTTGACAAGCACATGAAGTTGCTGCCAATACTCTGATTCTATTATGGACAAAGTCACAATGGGCTACTTCTTTGAAGACCATGAAATTGCACCAAATTCCAACATAAAAACATACCTAGAAGTGTTTTTTCTGTCATCTAGATCTCCAACATAATCATTGTCTGTAAAACCTACGAGATCTATCTGGTCACCTTTCTTGTAAAATAATACAAAATCTACAATTCCACATAAATACTTGAGAATTCTTTCAATGGTCTGCAAGTGAAACTCCTTTGGATGCTTCATATATCTGCTAATTAGACTTACACCATGCATTATGTTTGGTCTTGTTGCTATCAAATACATCAGACTTCCAACAATCTACATATATAGTTTGCTATCCACAAATTTGCTACCTAGATATTTCATGAGCTTTACACCTTTGTTAACTAGTGCAGTGATAGAATTGTAGTTCGTCATTTGAAATTTGTCCAAAACTTCATGCACACACACACACACACACACACACACACACACACACACACACACACACATACATTTTTGACAAACAAATATTCTAGAATCTGACTATACTACTTTCAAACCAAGAAAATAATGCAACAAACCTAGATCTATCATATCAAATTCATGCTTCATGGACTGCTTGAACTTTTCCATCATGCCAAAATCATTCCCAGTATAAATTAAATCATCAACATATAAGCATACTATAATCAATTTACCTCTATCTCCAAATTTAATATAAAATGTATGCCCATAAGAGCACTTTTGAAAACCTTCCTTCAAAAAATAAGCATCAATTCGACTATACCAAGCTTTGGGTGCTTGTTTTAGTCCATATAATGCTTTCTTCAATCTATAAACCTTATGCTCAAAACCGGGTTCACATAAATAGGAGGTTGATCAATAAATACTTGTTCTTGTAGATCTCCATGCAAAAAGGTTGATTTCACATGAAGCTAGTATATTGGCCATGAATTATACGCTGCTAATGAAATCACCAATCTGATGGTGTCCATCCTTGCAACTGGAGCAAAAACTTCTTGATAATCAATGCTGAACTCTTGCTTATAGCCTTTTACCACCAAGCGAGCTTTGAATTTGTCAACCTCTCCATTTTCGTTAAGCTTTGTCTTGTAGATCCACTTAACACCAATTGTCTTATGCCCTTTTGGAAGATCTATCAACTCATAAGTCTGGTTCCTTTCAATAGAACCAATTTCTTCTGCCATTCCTTTTTGCCACTTTTCTTCTATAATAGCCTTTTCATATGTCAATGAATCACAATCTACAAATAAAGCAAAATGAGTAATTGGAACATCATCTTGAGGTAGATTTGTTACCTCATAATCCTCCAACCATGTTGGTCTTCTCTTTTTGCATTGAAGTCATGAACTAGTGCCAGATTCCAATTCTGGAGTTGTAGGCAAACTTTCTCCAATATTGAACTCTATTGCTGCAGGCAGATTTTCCTTATCTACCTTTCTTGAAGCCTCAAGGTCTATTGAAGTTAGACCTCCATTTTGCTGCATCTGACCTCCTGTGTTCTGCACGGTCAGATCTTCTCCATTGTTGAAATCTACAGGAATCTGTCGTCTAGATTTTTCTGTCCAAGACCAAATGCTTGCTTCATCAAATACTACATCTAATGATAACCTTCTTGGTTATAGGATTATATAATCTGTAAGCTTTGAATTGATCACTAACACTAAGAAAAATACATTTTCCCCTTTATCATCAAGCTTACTACTTTTCTTATTTGGCACATGTGCATATGCTATACACCCAAAATTTCTGAAGTAGTCAACAGTAGGTTTGCGCCCACTCCAATCCTTTCCTAGCATCATATCTGAATTCAGATATGGGATTTCTGTTCAAGATATGAATAGCCCAATTAACAGCTTCTGGCCAAAACTCCTTAAACAAGCCACTCTTTAACAATAGACTTCACACCATATTCATGATTGTGCGATTCCTCCTCTCACATACACCATTCTACTTGGGTGTATATGTTATTGTGAGTTGTCGTTTACTACCATTAGATTCACAAAAATCTACAAATTCCTATGAGTTAAACTCACCACCACGATCTGTGTGTAAAACCTTTACAAATCTGGCAACTGCATTCTCAGCCAAGACTTTGAAAATTATCAAGGCTGCTAAGGCTTCTAACTTGGTCTACTAGAAATACACCCATGTTTTGCTATTATAATCATCAACAAAGATAAGAAAGTATTATTTACCTCCATTAGATGTTGGATTTATAGGTCCACATATATCAGAATGAACCAGATCTAACACCCGCTTTGCTCTCCAAGATTTGTCTTTAGGAAAGCTATCATGATACTATTTACTGACAATGTAGATTTCACAAATTTATAAAGGAGAATCAAAATGAGGAAGACCATTTACCATATTCTTTTGTTGCAAGGCCTTCAACCCACCAAAATATAGATGTCCATATCCGCAATGCCGTAACTAAGCAGTGTCCTTCAATTTGGCAAATAAACATGGTAAATTTGCAGTCTACAAGTACAATCAAAACAACCTATCTCCCATCATCTTGACCTTTGCAATCAAGCCAAGCTTTGAATCGCGAACTTGGCAAACTCCATCTTTAATTAGGATTTCATATCCTTTCTCTTGAAGATGTCCCAAACTAAGTAGATTTGACTTCAAATCTAGTACGTATAGAATATGATGGGAATCAAGACAACAACATATCTACTACGTCATGTGATCCATTACACAGCCAAGGAGGTCCAGTCACGCGAGCTAGGGCTAAGAAGATGCGTGAAGCTTTAAATGGCCTTATTGAGCAGATCTGGGTTGAAAACAACATA